TAGAATGTAACCTTATAAAATATCTATGTGTTACAATGGTCAGACACTTAAATAGAATGTAACCTTATTAAATATCTATGTGTTACAATGGTCAGACACTTAAATAGTCAATCTGTAAGAGGATGTAACCTTTTTAAATATCTATGTGTTACAATGGTCAGACACTTAAATAGTCAATCTGTAAGAGAACGTAACCTTATTAAATATCTATGTGTTACAATGGTCAGACACTTGAATAGTAAATCTGTAAGAGGATGTAACCTTATTAAATATTTATGTGTTACAATGGTCAGACACTTAAATAGTCAATCTGTAAGAGAACAAAACCTTATTAAATATCTATGTGTTACAATGGTAACCATATTAAATATCTATGTGTTACAATGGTCAGACACTTAAATAGTCAATCTGTAAGAGAACGTAACCTTATTAAATATCTATGTGTTACAATGGTCAGACACTTAAATAGTCAATCTGTAAGAGGATGTAACCTTATTAAATATCTATGTGTTACAATGGTCAGACACTTAAATAGTCAATCTGTAAGAGAATGTAACCTTATTAAATATCTATGTGTTACAATGGTCAGACACTTAAATAGAATGTAACCTTATAAAATATCTATGTGTTACAATGGTCAGACACTTAAATAGAATGTAACCTTATTAAATATCTATGTGTTACAATGGTCAGACACTTAAATAGTCAATCTGTAAGAGGATGTAACCTTTTTAAATATCTATGTGTTACAATGGTCAGACACTTAAATAGTCAATCTGTAAGAGAACGTAACCTTATTAAATATCTATGTGTTACAATGGTCAGACACTTGAATAGTCAATCTGTAAGAGGATGTAACCTTATTAAATATTTATGTGTTACAATGGTCAGACACTTAAATAGTCAATCTGTAAGAGAACAAAACCTTATTAAATATCTATGTGTTACAATGGTAACCATATTAAATATCTATGTGTTACAATGGTCAGACACTTAAATAGTCAATCTGTAAGAGAACGTAACCTTATTAAATATCTATGTGTTACAATGGTCAGACACTTAAATAGTCAATCTGTAAGAGGATGTAACCTTATTAAATATCTATGTGTTACAATGGTCAGACACTTAAATAGTCAATCTGTAAGAGAATGTAACCTTATTAAATATCTATGTGTTACAATGGTCAGACACTTTAATAGTCAATCTGTAAGAGAACGTAACCTTATTAAATATCTATGTGTTACAATGGTCAGACACTTAAATAGTCAATCTGTAAGAGAACGTAACCTTATTAAATATCTATGTGTTACAATGGTCAGACACTTAAGTAGTCAATCTGTAAGAGAATGTAACCTTATTAAATATCTATGTGTTACAATGGTCAGACACTTAAATAGTCAATCTGTAAGAGAATGTAGCATTATTAAATATCTATGTGTTACAATGGTCAGACGCTTAAATAGTCAATCTGTAAGAGGATGTAGCCTTATTAAATATCTAAGTGTTACAATGGTCAGACACTTAAACAGTCAATCTGTAAGAGAATTTAACCTTATTAAATATCTATGTGTTACAATGGTCAGACACTTAAATAGAATGTAACCTTATTAAATATCTATGTGTTACAATGGTCAGACACTTAAATAGAATGTAACCTTATAAAATATCTATGTGTTACAATGGTCAGACACTTAAATAGAATGTAACCTTATTAAATATCTATGTGTTACAATGGTCAGACACTTAAATAGTCAATCTGTAAGAGGATGTAACCTTTTTAAATATCTATGTGTTACAATGGTCAGACACTTAAATAGTCAATCTGTAAGAGAACGTAACCTTATTAAATATCTATGTGTTACAATGGTCAGACACTTGAATAGTCAATCTGTAAGAGGATGTAACCTTATTAAATATTTATGTGTTACAATGGTCAGACACTTAAATAGTCAATCTGTAAGAGAACAAAACCTTATTAAATATCTATGTGTTACAATGGTAACCATATTAAATATCTATGTGTTACAATGGTCAGACACTTAAATAGTCAATCTGTAAGAGAACGTAACCTTATTAAATATCTATGTGTTACAATGGTCAGACACTTAAATAGTCAATCTGTAAGAGGATGTAACCTTATTAAATATCTATGTGTTACAATGGTCAGACACTTAAATAGTCAATCTGTAAGAGAATGTAACCTTATTAAATATCTATGTGTTACAATGGTCAGACACTTTAATAGTCAATCTGTAAGAGAACGTAACCTTATTAAATATCTATGTGTTACAATGGTCAGACACTTAAATAGTCAATCTGTAAGAGAACGTAACCTTATTAAATATCTATGTGTTACAATGGTCAGACACTTAAATAGTCAATCTGTAAGAGGATGTAACCTTATTAAATATCTATGTGTTACAATGGTCAGACATTTAAATAGTTAATCTGTAAGAGAACGTAACCTTATTAAATATCTATGTGTTACAATGGTCAGACACTTAAATAGTCAATCTGTAAGAGGATGTAACCTTATTAAATATCTATGTGTTACATTGGTCAGACACTTAAATAGTCAATCTGTAAGAGGATGTAACCTTATTAAATATCAATGTGATAGTCATTCCTTTCTTTTTACTTGTTTGTAAGATTGTTATTTACAGATGAATTAACTTTTCAGAATATCTCAGACAGCTGTGGCAGCTAATTTATTCAACACAATATTTATTTCTAATTTATAGCATATGATAAATTTCCAGTTTTCAAGTACTGGAAAATTTCTTTAGAAAGACTTTCCTTTTGGACCTAGCAAGTCCTTTCATAAGGGGCTGGTTAGGGGTGAACTCTGTAATCTTTGTTTTTAGGCTGTTTTTCTCTATACTTTATTATGCTTGCCAATTATTATCTGATCTTTATATATCAGGACCAATTATTCTGTATTTGTTTTTCTCTTTTTGCTGCTTAACCTATTTTGCTCTATGATTACTTTGTTTTTGGCCCATTATTCTATGAACCCCATCCAGACCTCTTTTGTTAGTCCATCAGACAGTTAAACTAAAAAATGTTAATATGATAGTTACTTATTATACCATCAGCAAATCAAAATGCATTTATGCCTTGAACTGATTTTATAAATAATACTATAAATTGAGGACTTAGATATATGTTTCTCTAATTCTTACCCGATTTATCCTTTTCCTGACCTGTTGATTATTTTTATTGTTGAGCCTGCGACTTTTGTTGCAGAAAGCTCGACATAGGGATAGTGATCCCGTGGCGGCAGCGGCGGCGTTAACTAACTTCTTAAAAGCTTAATATTTCAGAAGGTAGAAGACCTGGATGCTTCATACTTTGTATATAGATGCCTTATGATATGAAGTTTCCGTCTGTCATATGTCCATAGTCCTTGACTTCATTTTTATGGTTCAGTGACTACTTGAAAAAAGATTTTTTGTAAGGTTAATTTCTCTCTTATTATGAGTAATAGGATAACTATATTTGGTATGTGCGTACCTTGCAAGGTCCTCATGCCTGTCAGACAGTTTTCACTTGACCTCGACCTCATTTCATGGATCAGTGAACAAGGTTAAGTTTTGGTGGTCAAGTCCATATCTCAGATACTATAAGCAATAGGTCTACTATATTTGGTGTATGTAATGATTGTAAGGTGAACATGTCCAACTGGCAGGTGTCATCTGACCTTGACCTCATTTTCATGGTTCAGTGGTCATTGTTTAGTTTTTGTGTTTTGGTCTGTTTTTCTAATACTGTATGCAATAGGTCAACTATATTTGGTGTATGGAAATATTTTACGATGTACATGTAGTCTGGCATGTTTTATTTGACCTTGACCTCATTTTCACGTTTCATTGCTCAATGTTTTTGTGTTTTGGTCTGTTTTTCTAATACTGTATGCAATAGGTCAACTATATTTGGTGTATGAAAATATTTTACGATGTACATGCCAGTCTGGCATGTTTTATTTGACCTTGACCTCATTTTTACCTCATTTTTACGGTTAATTGATCGATGTTAAGTTTTTGTTTTTTTGGTCTGTTTTTCCAATACTATAAGCAATAGGTCAACTATATTTGGTGTATGGAATGATTGTAAGGTGCATATGTCTGTCTGTCAGTTACCATCTGACCATGACCTCATTTTCATAGTTCATTGGTCAATCTTAAGTTTTCCTGGTTAAGTTTGTTTCTTAGATACTATATAAATATAGGTCAACTATATTTAAAGCATGTAATGATTGTAAGATGTACATGTCTATCTGGCAGGGTTCATCTGACCTTGACCTCATTTTCATGGTTCATTGATCAATGTTAAGTTTTCCTGGTTAAGTTTGTTTCTTAGATGCTATGTGCAATAGGTCAACTATACTTAAAGCATATTTGGCGTATGGAATGATTGTAAGGTGTACATACAATTTCCAGTTTGGTTTATCTGACCTTGACCTCATTTTCTTGGATCATGTTAAGTTTCTGTGATAGTTGTAGTAAAGCTTTATATTTAGGACTATCAACATAAAATCAATGGATAGTAAAGAAGACGAGACATTTCAGCCTGTGCACTCTTATTTAATCAACGTGTGGTTCGTTTGATCTCAGTTCTTCATTTGTCAAAATTCTTGCTTTCCTCTGAATTTCATAATGTAACGTCATGAGAAAAGGCGACCATACCTGACGACGTCACATAGAAAGAACACATCTTTTTGCAGATCGTTTGAAAAGAAGGAATAAGTTTGCCTGCATATTGTATAAGAATCATTAGAGAAACCGATTCCACCACATAAAATCTTGTGTAATACAATATTTATCCACTCTCTATAGTTAAATTTTAAATATTTAAAAAGCTCAGCGAGCCTTGAGTTTTAAATTTGAAAATGTAACTGTCTCGAGTAGATAAATATTGTATCGCGCTTGATGCAGTGGTAGATTCTATATGAACATAGTTCCCAAATCCTACCTGTGTTATAATATCTACTTTCTATTTAGGTTCTACAAAAGAAGTGGAGGAGGCTTGTTATGTGGAATGTAAAGGTCTGACAACATCTGATTATATAGATTTGACATGGACAACTTTTGCAGAGTTTCCTGGTGAGTTTTTAGGCCCCAGCCACTAGGCAGAAGGGGCATTAAGTGTTACCCTTGTCTATTTTTATGTCCTTCCTGAAATTGGTTTCCGTTCTCTAACTTTAGTTTTCTCCTACCAAATGTTGTGAAACTTATACACAATGCCTATTACAACCAAACACAGATCAAGATCAAATTTTGGTGGCGTCACTTTCGACGTTCTTGAGTTATATCCTTTATAAATTGAAAAATTGCTGAATTGGCAGTTTCCACACACTAACTTTACTTTGCCTCAACCATATGTTATGAAACTTATTTAGAATGCTTATTACTACCAAATACAGATCAAGTTCGAATTTGGGTGGCATCACTTTCACCAATCTTCAGTTATGCCCCTTAATGAATGAAAAGTTGACAAGTTTGCTGTGTCATTCAGTTTCAAAGAAAATAAAATGTCATTAGTATGACTCTTACATATTACAAGTGGGGCAACTGTGTCCCATGGACGCATTCTTCTTTTATATACAATTTTATCTTCATTGCAAAATCAGCAAAATGCAAAAAAAAGTTTCACTTTACACAATAAAGTCCAGTATATTTTCTAATGTTTTTCTTGAGAGTGTTGTAACAGTGTTTTTATATGTTTTGTAGGATTGTTTGTGACTGTGTTTATTATAGAAAGACTGGGAAGAAAGTTTACGATGGCATTTGAATTTTTTGTATTCACTATTTTTGTGTTGTTATCAAATATATGTACATCTAGGTAGGTATTGGCAATAGTATAGAACTTATTCAAGCTTTTTAAGGACATGATTTTGTGAAATTATACCATTACTTATGGATGTTATGTGGCAATGACCTTGTCAGTTCATTCATCTGATTATGATTTTCATTCCATATTTCTCAGCTTCTGCATTAAGGAACAATTTAAACTTTATAATGTTGAGTTTTACCCTACAGAGGATTTTTGGATTGCTTGGCAGTCAATTCCTGTTTGACAATACTTTTGAATTATTGTTTTACTCAATGGGCATGAAACTTTTTGTTAACATGCATTTACGAGCAATCTCATGTTCTTTCTTAAAAAAGAAAGAATAAATCTAAGATATGGTTAGATAAACATTTAGAAAAAATGTGGCAGACATAATTGTTAAAATAGTTACTTTAAAGGAGATGAAAATATGAGAAGGCATACATTTGAACTTATTTTTATATTATGGTTTATAGACCACATGAAGGAATGAAATTTATAAGAAGCCACACCTTAGATAATGATAGAGATCTACTGAATAATTGGGATACCTTGACCTACATTTCACACCTTAGATAATGATAGAGATCTACTGGATAATTGGGATACCTTGACCTACATTTCACACCTTAGATAATGATAGAGATCTACTGAATAATTGGGATACCTTGACCTACATTTTATCCATGAATATCCATTGAAATATAGGGCTGCCTTGTCCTACATTTTATCCATGAATATCCATTGAAATATAGGGCTTCCTTGACCTACTTTTTATGCAAGAATAATTAAGTTTTAAGAGTGTCTCAATTGTGAGAAACTGCTAGTGATAGAAAATTGCCACATGTTCAGCAGTAAAGAAACTGTTTGAAAAAAAATATGAATAAAACCAGAAATGGGGTACCAGTATATATATAAGATGGCAACAACTTAAATCACAAAAGACATGAAAAGTTTAATACACATACTTCAGTAATAGATAGATAGTTTATTCTCATAAAACCATGAAGTACATAGGTTACAGAGAAGTTAAAAACATGCATAAAAAATATTAGATGAGATAACATAATATTTAAAAAAAAAAAAATAAATAAATAAATAAATAAAAATATAGTTAAATAAATAAAATTATTGCATAGCAATATAATATTTCCCACAGAAAGTAACAAAAAGTTAGCGTGCAATAAATTCTAATATTGCACTAGTGCAATAAATCTTCAAAATTTATAACGTCATCAACGACAAAATCTTAGTTTAAACCAATTTTTACTTTCAAATATTATATTGCTATACAATAAAAGCGTTATTGCATGAATATTGGGGAATATTGTCCCTCGTAGAACATATATTGCACTCGCAAGCTCGTGCAATATAAAATCTACTCGGGACAATATTCCCCAATATTCATGCAATAACTCTATAATATGAGAATACAAAAAAATGAAAATATAGACAAGTTTCTGTATGTTATCCTCTAAATCACTCAGAGTCCTAAAACATGGTGATATATTTTACAGACTATCAAATATCACTGTCACTTGCATCATTAACATATTCTTTAAAGGACAACAGAAATAACTGAAGACAACCACTGACCAGTACTTGACTTAACTTGTGACAGGCACATAAACATGGTGTAGGGTTAAATTGTCAGCCTGAACTTAAATTTTACTTCCTCTGATCAAATTTAATGCACAGGCCAACATCTAAGCATCTACAAAATACAGAGGAATGCTATTTTGGATACAAGAAGTCAAGATAGTATATCAATATGTTTTATTATTATTATTATAAAGTTGGTCAAGCCAATATGGGGATGAGAAGAACTGTTCAATCATATGACTTATTCTTTTTCTTTACAGGCCTGTATTAACATTTTTCCTGTTTGTAGCCAGAGCATTTATATCTGGAGCTTTCCAAGCTGCCTATGTTTATACTCCAGAGGTAAGGTTTAATATCTAATATAGATTATCTCCCATTACAATAGTCGCCTCCCTTTATATCTGGAGCTTGTCAAGCTGCCTATGTTTATACTCCAGAGGTAAGGTTTTATCTTATATAGATTATCTCCCATTACAATAGTTGCCTCCCTTTATGTCAGGAACTTTTCAAGCTGCCTATGTTTATACTCCAGAGGTAAGGTTTCATCTTATATAGATTATCTTCCATTACAATAGTTGCCTCCCTTTATGTCAGGAGCTTTCCAAGCTGCCTATGTTTATACTCCAGAGGTGAGGTTTTATCTTATATAGATTATCTCCCATTACAATAGTTGCCTCCCTTTCTGTCAGGAACTTTTCAAGCTGCCTATGTTTATACTCCAGAAGTAAGGTTTCATCTTATATAGATTATCTCCCATTACAATAGTTGCCTCCCTTTATGTCAGGAGCTTTCCAAGCTGCCTATGTTTATAGAGGGGGGGTAGGAGGGGTCCTGATCCGCAAATCCCGGGCTTTAAAACATGGAATCCCGAGGTCCCGTATTTAAAAAAATATAAATCCGGACATCCCGAAATTCGAAAAAAGAATTCCCCGGATCCCAAAAGGATGAATCACGAAATCCCGAGCTTAAAAACACCCGATCCCGGAGTCCCGATAAAGGTCCTACCCCCCCCCCCCCCCCCCCCCTTTATACTCCACAGAGGTGAGGTTTTATCTTATATAGATTATCTCCCATTACAATAGTTGCCTCCCTTTATGTCAGGAGCTTTCCAAGCTGCCTATGTTTATACTCCAGAGGTAAGGTTTCATCTTATATAGATTATCTCCCTTAAATAGTTGCCTCCCTTTATGTCAGGAGCTTTCCAAGCTGCCTATGTTTATACTCCAGGGGTAAGATTTCATCTTATATAGATTATCTCCCATTACAATAGTTGCCTCCCTTTATGTCTGGAGCTTTTCAAGCTGCCTATGTTTATACTCCAGAGGTGAGGTTCTATTTTACATTTTTTATCTCCTATTACAATAGTTGCCTCCCTTTATATCAGAAGCTTTTCAAGCTGCATATGTTTATACTCCAGAGGTGAGGTTCTATTTTACATTTTTTATCTTCTATAACAATAGTTGCCTCCCTTTATATCAGGATCTTTTCAAGCTATTTATATATATATTCCTTAGGTGAGGTTCTATTTAACATAGGTTCCCTCTCTTTATAACCAGCTTTTCAAGCTATCTATATATATATTCCATAGGTGAGGTTCTATTTTAGATAGCTTATCTCCCATCACAATAGTTTCCTCCCTTTGTAAAGAGCATCTCAAGTTGCATATGTATATATTCCTGAGGTAAGTTTCTATTTTACATAGGTCATCTCCCATCACAATAGTTTCCTCCCTTTGTAAAGAGCATTTCAAGTTGCATATGTATATATTCCTGAGGTAAGTTTCTATTTCACATAGGTTATCTCCCATCACAATAGTTTCCTCCCTTTGTAAAGAGCATTTCAAGTTGCATATGTATATATTCCTGAGGTAAGTTTCTATTTTACATAGGTTATCTCCCATCACAATAGTTTCCTCCCTTTGTAAAGAGCATTTCAAGTTGCATATGTATATATTCCTGAGGTAAGTTTCTATTTTACATAGGTTATCTCCAATTGCTGGAGCTGCCTCCCATTTATGTTTATACTCAAAGGGTTAAGTTATAGATGTAAGGTACAACCCTGGTAGATGATTTTTTTGGCAAATATGTATTTAAATAGTGAAAAATAATGTTGTACATGCTAGCAGTCCAAAATGAAGATGCATTATTCAGATAGATCTGTCAAATACTGATTAGTTTATTGCAAAATCCCTCTTGAATGAGACAAAAATACCACTAAAGTTCTTCTTGTGATCAAGCAAGGAATTGTATTACAACATCCCAAACTCGAGGCTAGCATAAGGCGATCAAGACATTTTTATACTCCCTGTAGGTTGCAATTCTGTAAATACAGACAATTCAATTTCCAATAGGAACTCCCTTTGCGGCTAAAACTGTGACACTTTTACTATGAAGTTTCGTGAAAAATGATATCCCAGAACGGAAAGTTTATATGCACTACTATTTTATTCAAAGGTCAAAATATAGGGCTTTGCTGCATATTTTCAACATTTATATGCCCTGAACTTCTAAGAGTTTAAACTTATACTAAAATTCTATACTACCCTTACCTCCATTTTTGGACCTCCTAAGAATAAAAATTTAGCCGCTACCATGTTTTTCTATACTGGTTACATTCCCAAGTGATGTCTCTATGAGATGAAACACAGAGATCATCAATTGGAACCAGTACGTTAACAAATTAACATACCTATGAATATTAAATATCTCCCCAAAAGAGGCGTGGTTTGAGAAACAGCTGTATTTACAAAGTGCAACCTGTAACATGAACAACAATTCATCAAAATGAAAATTTGACTAATTGTGCTATTCCATGGATAAGAGTGTAAAAAAATGTTGGGCATATGTCAATGAAGCATAAAAAAAGATGTCTTTAGGGCAATAGTATGTCCAAAAAAAAATATGAATAAAGGTTAGAGACTATTTATAATGACCTTGAAAAAGTTGTTGTAAATAATTTTTTTAGAGACTATAAAAGTCACACAACCAGATTTTAAGTTAGGTTTCTATGTCTGAAATTTTATAACATAATTCCTTTTGATGTTTATTGTTTTTATCACATTTCAGGTTTATCCTACATCAATGAGAGCTATAGGCTTAGGATCTTGTAGTGGTATGGCCAGGGTAGGGGCAATAGTTACACCATTTGTGGCACAGGTAAGTTATAGGCTTAGGATCTTGTAGTGGTATGGGCAGGGTAGGGGCAATAGGTACACCATTTGTGGCACATGTAAGCTATAGGCTTAGGATCTTGTAGTGGTATGGCCAGGGTTGGGGCAATCAATAGTTACACCATTTGTGGCACAGGTAAGTTATAGGTTTAGGATCTTGTAGTGGTATGGCCAGGGTTGGGGCAATAGTTACACCATTTGTGGCACAGGTAAGTTATAGGTTTAGGATCTTGTAGTGGTATGGCCAGGGTAGGGGCAATATTTACACCATTTGTGGCACAGGTAAGTTATAGGTTTAGGATCTTGTAGTGGTATGGCCAGGGTAGGGGCAATAGTTACACCATTTGTGGCACAGGTAAGTTATAGGTTTAGGATCTTGTAGTGGTATGGCCAGGGTAGGGGCAATAGTTACACCATTTGTGGCACAGGTAAGTTATAGGCTTAGGATCTAGTAGTGGTATGGCCAGGGTAGGTGCAATAGGTACACCATTTGTGGCACAGGTAAGCTATAGGCTTAGGATCTTGCAATGGTATGGCCAGGGTAGGGGCAATAGTTAAATCATTTGTGGCACAGGTAAGTTATAGGTTTAGGATCTTGTAGTGGTATGGCCAGGGTTGGGGCTATAGTTACACCATTTGTGGCACAGGTAAGTTATAGGCTTAGGATCTTGTAGTGGTATGGCCAGGGTAGGGGCAATAGGTACACCATTTGTGGCACATGTAAGCTATAGGCTTAGGATCTTGCAATGGTATGGCCAGGGTATGGGCAATAATTACACCATTTGTGGCACAGGTAAGTTATAGGTTTAGGATCTTGTAAAGGTATGGCCAGGGTAGGGGCAAAAGTTACACCATTTGTGGCACAGGTAAGTTATAGGTTTAGGATCTTGTTGTGGAATCGCCAGGGTAGGGGCAATAGGTACACCATTTGTGGTAAAGGTAAGTTATAGGTTTAGGATCTTGTAGTGGTATGGCCAGGGTAGGGGCAATAGGTACACCATTTGTGGCACAGGTAAGCTATAGGCTTAGGATCTTGCAATGGTATGGCCAGGGTAGGGGCAATAGTTACATCATTTGTGGCACAGGTAAGTTATAGGTTTAGGATCTTGTAGTGGTATGGCCAGGGTTGGAGCTATAGTTACACCATTTGTGGCACAGGTAAGTTATAGACTTAGGATCTTGTAGTGGTATGGCCAGGGTAGGGGCAATAGGTACACCATTTGTGGCACAGGTAAGCTATAGGCTTAGGATCTTGCAATGGTATGGCCAAGGTAGGGGCAATAGTTACACCATTTGTGGCACAGGTAAGTTATAGGTTTAGGATCTTGTAAAGGTATGGCCAGGGTTGGGGCAATAGTTACACCATTTGTGGCACAGGTAAGTTATAGGTTTAGGATCTTGTAGTGGTATGGCCAGGGTAGGGGCAATAGTTACACCATTTGTGGCACAGGTAAGTTATAGGTTTAGGATCTTGTAGTGGTATGGCCAGGGTAGGGGCAATAGTTACACCATTTGTGGCACAGGTAAGTTATAGGTTTAGGATCTTGTAGTGGTATGGCCAGGGTGGGGGCAATAGTTACACCATTTGTGGCACAGGTAAGTTATAGGTTTAGGATCTTGTAGTGGTATGGCCAGGGTAGGGGCAATAGGTACACCATTTGTGGCACAGGTAAGCTATAGGCTTAGGATCTTGCAATGGTATGGCCAGAGAGGGGCAATAGTTACACTATTTGTGGCACAGGTAAGTAATAGGCTTAGGATCTTGTAGTGGTATGGTCAGGGTAGGGGCAAGAGTTACACCATTTGGGCATAGGTAAGTTATAGCCTTAGGATCTTGTAGTGGTATGGCCAGGGTAGGGGCAATAGGTACACCATTTGTGGCACAAGTAAGCTTCAGGCTTATGATCTTGTAGTGGTATGGCAAGGGTAAGGGCAATAGTTACACCATTTGTGGCACAAGTAAGCTATAGGCTTAGGATCTTGTGGTATGGCCAAGGTTTCGGGCAATAGTTACACCATTTGTGGCACAGATAGGTTATAGGCTTAGGATCTTGTAGTGGAAAGGGTAAGGGCAATAGTTACACCATTTGTGGCACAGGTAAGTTATAAAGTCTGAAACTGCTTTAATGGTATGGCAATGGTTAAGGCAATAGTTGCATCATACTATATGTAATATGGCCTATGTAAGTTCAATAGTTACACCTTTTTAGCTCACTTGGCCAGAAGGACCAGTGTGAGCTTTTGCCATCACTTGGCGTCCATCGTCACGATCATCAAAGTGATATTTAGTTTTAAAAAAATTGTCAATGACCCCTTCTGCCAACAAACATGGCTGACATGGCTGAAAAGAGAACATAGGGGCAAAATGCAATTTTTTCTATTATCTTGAAGATCACTATATATACCAATAGGGAAATCAGACTGGGGCAAATAAGATCTGCCTTCTGTCTATTGACATCAAAACTGTCAGTTGACTTCTTGTAGGAGTTATTGCCCTTAAACATTGAATTTTAACAATTTTTGTCTCACTTGACGGAGACTAAAAGAGAGACACAGGTATGCTGTTTCCTGCGGCTTCTTGACCTAGAATCTTTTGCTAAGTTTACATGTATAAGTTTGGGATTAGGTCAGTTTATGGGGAACCACTAGTGGTAGGTCAATGATATTTGGTATGCAGTTGTATTAGCATTGGCAGATCTCATTTTCCATGGAGATTATTTGCCCCTGCCCTCTCAGTCATGGTCTATTGACTTTCAAATGTTTGCTAGTTTACATGTATTGGTTTGTCAGTATGTCAGTTTATGGGGAACCACTAGTGGTAGGTCAATGATATTTGGTATTCAGTTGTATTAGCATTGGCATATCTCATTTCCATGGAGATTATTTGTCCCTGCCCTCTCAGTCATGGTCTATTGACTTTGAAATGTTTGCTTACCGGTATTTTACATTTATTGGTTTGTTATTACGTCAGTTTATGGGGAAGCACTAGTGGTAGGTCAATGAAATTTGGTATTCAGTTGTATTAGTATTGGCACATCTCATTTCCATGGAGATTGTTTGGCCCTGTACCTTTAGTCATGGTTCATTTACTTTGAATATTTTGCATAACTTAAATGTTAAAGTATTGCTATTTTAATTTCAACATTTGCATTTAACTATCAAAATAACAAAAAGGCGAGACATATCTCTGTGTTAACAGTTTATTTTTCATTTTTGCCTATTATCTTGATAATTATAATAGAAATACAGAAAGTTTGCAAAGCAAAAATGATGAGCAAGACCAGATCTACAAATAAGTCAACATGACCGAAGTCATCAGTCCACACTTTATTGAAATTATTACCCTTTTATGATGATTTTTCCCAACTTTTTTTTTTATATTGCCTATTTTCTTGAAAACTAAAACTAAAACTGATAGATAAAAACTTTTAATAGCAAAAATGATCAGCAAGACAAGAAATACAAATAAGTCAACATGACAGAAATTGTTAGCCGACTCCATATTGAAGTTATTGCCCTTTATAAATGACCATTTTTTCCCATTTTTTTGTCTATTATCTTGAAAAATATAATAGATAGATAGAAACTTAAATAGCAAAAAGCAATTAAAGATCTACAAATAAGCCATCATGGCCGAAATCTTTATTTGACTCATTATTTGAGTTTTGCCCTTTAATGATAACTTTTACCATTTTTGGGGGGTTTTGTCTTGAAAACTACAATAGATGAATAGAAACATTAATGGAAACTGGTCAGCAGGATAAGATCTTCAAATTGGTCAACCTGATTGAAATTGTTTGTTGACTTTTAATAGAGTTATTCCCCTTTAATGATGTTTTTACTAAAAAGTCACCATTATTGAAGATGCAGGTGAGTGACACAGGCCCTTTAGTCCAGCCTGTGTTTCTATATGATATGGTAAGCGTTAAGGCAATAGCTACACCATTTGTGGCATAAGGACCCAGTAAGATCAAGGCAGAGTATTTTATATGTTGAATTTCAAAAATAAATCAACCCTGCAACACAATTTTACAACAACAACAAAAATATTTAATGAAAAACATAAGCAATATTTTCATATTTTATGATATTTTAAGTCATGATTTTCTCAACCATTTCAGGTGTTGTTAAAAGAATCCTCATATTTAGCAATATCAACGTACGGTGTAATATCTTTATTAGCGACTGTTGTAGCAATCTTACTGCCTATAGAAACAAAGGGAAGAGAAATGAAGGTCAGTAATCTACGATGTCACATTCAACGGCGTATGTATTATAGGAGATATAGGTTATATGTCAATGATACAGAATCAAAACATTCATGGGATATCAATTTTTGTGGATAGAGGAAAACCAGGAAGTTAAATGTTCCACAAAGTACAAAATTTCTATATATATCTTCTTTAACAAAAGACATGGTTATACAATTTGTCAGGTTCTTATGTATTTTTACCCCATTTGTTTTGTGCAAACAAGTTAAATATTTATAATAGGAATTCATTGAAATAACCAAATCATTAATCATTTATGGTCACATCAATTTGGAACTTGGGGATATGCAGGAAAGTTTCTTTGACCAGTTTTAGATTTGGAGTAAATTGGAGGGAATTGGAAGAAGGGTGGGAGGGAAGTGAGAATCCCCCTGTTCAAATCCTCGCATATGATGATATTATTATGATGTGAACAATAAAAACTAAGTCAAATTAAGGTTAGGATCCATATTTCATGGTTCACTGAACAATCTATTAGTATAAGTTTACAAGGTGTCCTATGGAAACATATTCTCGTTTATAGTACCTTTGACTTCACCAGTTTCTTGTATATTCCTCCAATAATTGTGGAGCACTACCCATAGGGTATAATTGTAGCAACTATACCCACCTTGAAACATAAGGGAACATATAAACTTATGTGCAGATAAATGAATAAAGACGATATTATTATTAATTCATTGGATAGTCATTACAGTCTTGAACCATAGAATTTATAAATAATAATCATGATGTGCTGAGGTGTAAGAAAAAGTTAAGTAAGAACTGAATATATTTACAAGTAAAATTTAAAATTTAAATAGTTTTAAATTTAAAATTCTATATGGTTAGTTAAAGGTGCTATTCTTACATCAGAATTTATTATGAAAAGATTATTTAAAAAGAGTGTTATGTAAAAGGGTAGGGGTTTAGAACAACTCAACGTATATACATAGGTTTTCCTTCACAGTTAAAAATTACCTATTTTAGGATCTTGTCATTATTCTTAAAGGTACTTGATATCTTAAAAACTTTGAAAAAACTATTTTTAAGTCGTTAATAGTCATAAAATAGTAAAATGGTAGAAATAAGGAACTATTTTATTTAAGCTATTTCTCATAGAATGATAGATTTGTCATGACATGTTATTTATTTATTTTTCAGGATACACAACAAGAGATGACTGTAGTACATTAACAACACAATGACTTTATGTCTCAGTTTAAGGATGTTCGCTACTCTGTTTCAAAATAACAAGCTTTTTAAAAAAACTGCTATAAATTGAAAGTATATAAATGAAGGAACTAAAAAATCAGAAAAAAATGAAGGGTTCGTTTGCCTGTTTTCGAGATATAAGCCATTGAAAATTTGGCGGGAAATGATTCTCTCTAGATTTTTCATACACTTAACATTGGCACCTTTATTCTTTCAAAAACAATGAAAAAATAACAAGGATTTTATAAGAATTTCAAATATGACTTTTTAAACTATATGTAACAAAATTATGAAAAGAAAAGTAGGGGTTAGCGGGCAAAATTTTTATTTCACTACATGGATAAAACCAGAGGATTCCGAATATCTGGCAAACTATCAAAACCATGAGGAGCCATCATCCTTAACTTTAGATTTGCTAATTCACCACATTCAAATCAAATGCATTCTGGGTATTTTTTTCAAAAGAGTACACCAAAACATTGTGATGAGGTAAACAATTAAAGTTCAACCAATAGCATAACAATATTATCATTTGGGGTAGGAACAATAAAATTACTCTAATGCATTCTGGGTAGTACTTTCAAAAGCGTTCCCTATTTTAGGCTTCATAAGCAATAAAAGGTCAACCAATAGTGTAACAGTATTATCATTTAGGTGTAGGAACATTAAATTACATATATTCCATTAGATTATTAAGTGACAAAATATTGTTCTTAACATGTCTGTTGTTGAGACTAATGATAATTATAATTATACATGACATTAAAACATTCCTACATGATTTTGAAGTGGGGTCAGGGTTTCAGTTTAATGTTAGCTTTATTAATCCATGATAAGGATATCAAGATCCAGGGATCACCACAGGCTATTTAAGGGTGGAGCTCCTCCGTCCTTAAATCTCCAGCACAACTCTTGAATTTCTCAGCACCACCCTTGAATTTTTGAAAAATGTGATGAAAAGGTAAATTTCTTGACAATTTTTACTTCAAAAGTATAAATTCATGCCTTAATTACAATTTTTTTTACATAATGTACAATGGCTTTAATTTGTTTATCTTTTTCCTAAATAACAGATTATGATCTACAATAAAGATCTTGTGTGATTGTAATTTCAATATAATTTTTTGTTGTGAACACCACCCTTAAAATAAATTCTGTGGTGATCCCTGAGATCATAAGACTTTGTGGTAAAGGTAGGGGACTATCTTGACTTTTGACATTGTAAGTCTCTTGGCCTTTGACATTGTAAGTCTCTTGATGGGCTTTTTTTAAAATGAAGATGACTGTTATGAGATTTGAATTATTCTTTAAAAGATAATAAATATATAACCACTGTTTTGATTATAAACTGGATACCATGACATGGTCCAGTTAAATTATAGATAGTCTTTAGAACTTATAATCTGTTGATAAGTGTGTCAAGGTAATATACAAGTGCAATATATTTTGTAAATATATATATATATGTGTCTCACTGTAACTTTTGCATGTTTTTGGACCAATCTTACTTTTTTGTCATCTATGTAAAACAAGGTTTATTTTTTTACTATTTATTTTTAGATAAAGCGCATACTTCCTGGTATTTTCAACAGATACCGGCACTAAGGAAAGTGGATAGGAAATAGGGATTTTTCCATTTAAGTTTCAAACCACCATTCCAAAATTCTTGATAAGAAGTATAAAGGAGTAATTTCGATAAGGGCCATATTTGGCCCCGATTATTAAGTTCAATGTTTTAGGATAAAAATGGTTTTAGTTGATAAAAATGCATGTAAGAAGGTTAAATAGAATTATTTATGTCAAAGTTTTATTTTGAAACGTTGATTTTTACATCACAAATAGGTGATATATATCAAAATAGAGATTTCTGGGAAATTTGACAAAATCGTACTGATTTCAACCAAATTAAGGCATAGGAAACATAGAGCGTAGGCGTCGACCAACTAAAAAGATTTTTTTTGTCGACGCCTGCGCTCTATGTTTCCTGTCTAAAAAATCAATGAAAATCTATCCGTTTTCATTGAATTTTCGTGGAAAATCAAAATGAGTGCTTCTGTGAAGTCATGAATAGAACACAAGGACATAAATTTTCAACAAAAAGAAACAGTTTCTATCTAGTCATAGTATTAGCTATGATTCATTGAGATGTTGGTCAATTGATTTTAATTTTAAGTTTTAGCTAGAAAAAGGGGCCACTTTAGGGGCTTATCTAGCCTTCTCCTTTATTAGCTCACCTGACCTGAAAGGTCAAGTGAGCTTTTCTCATCACTTGGCGTCCGTCGTCCTGCGTCCGTCGTCCGTAAACTTTTACAAAAATCTTCTCCTCTGAAACTACTGGGCCAAATGCACCCAAACTTAAACACAATCATCATTCAAGTATCTAGTTTAAAAAATGTGTCCGATGACCCTGCCAACCTACCAAGATGGCCGCCGTGGCTAAAAATAGAACATAGGGGTAAAATGTAGATTTTGGCCTATATCTCTGAAACCAAAGCCTTTAGAGCAAATCTGACATGAGTAAAATTGTTTATCAGGTCAAGATCTATCTGCCCTGAAATTTTCAGATGAATCTGACAATCGGTTGTTGGGTTGCTGCCCCTGAATTGGTAATTTTAAGGAAATTTTGCCGTTTTTGGTTATTATCTTGAATATTATTATAGATAGAGATAAACTGTAAACAGCAATAATGTTCAGCAAAGTAAAATCTACAAATAAGTCAACTTGACCAAAATGGTCAGTTGACCCCTTAAGGAGTTATTGCCCTTTATAGTCAATTTTTAACCATTTTTCGTAAATTTTTGTAATCTTTTACAAAATCTTCTCCTCTGAAACTACTAGGACAAATTTAACCAAACTTGTCCACAATCATCATTACGGTATCTTGTTTAAAAAATGTGTCCGATGACCCCACCCACGAAGCAAGATGGCCGACATGGCTTAAAAATAGTACATAGGGAAAAGGGCAGTTTTTGGCTCATATCTCTGAAACCAAAGCCTTTAGAGCAAATCTGTCAGATTAAAATTGTTCATTAGGTCAAGATCTATCTGCCTTGAAATTTTCAGACCAATCAGGCAACACGTTGTTGGGTTGCTGCCCCTGAATTGGTAATTTTAAGAAAATTTTGCAGTTTTTGGTTATTATCTTGAATATTATTATAGATAGAGATAAACTGTAAACAGCAATAATGTACAGCAAAGTAAGATCTACAAATAAGTCAACATGGCCAAAATTATCAATTGACCCCTTAATGAGTTATTGCCCTTTATAGTCAATTTTTTACAATTTTCATAAATTTTGTAAATTTTTGTAAATTTTTACAAAATATTTTCCACTGTAACTACTTGGCCAAGTTCATTATTAGATAGAGATAATTGTAAGCAGCAAGAATGTTCAGTAAAGTAAGATCTACAAGCACATCACCATCACCAAAACACAATTTTGTCATGAATCTATCTGTGTCCTTTGTTTAATATGCGCATAGACCAAGGTGAGCGACACAGGCTCTTTAGAGCCTCTAGTTGACATTTTGATATCCAAATTTTACAAGATAATTTTCCAAAGTTACATCAGAATAAATTTAAACTGCAGAAAATTGCTCTATTGTTACATATCTATATATCAACTTTCCATGTGGCTGAGCTGATTTTTGCAATACCAGTGTATGTATGAGAAATTTGTAGTGTTGTCTATTGACATACATTTTGTATATGAAAATGATTTATTCATGAAAGTATGATATGCCAAAATGATTTCTGTAGAATATTATGCATTCCAAGTAACATATCTTATCAACTTTGAGTTGTGTTTTTAGTATTATATAGTATATTTATTTTCTACACTTTTTTATTGTTATTATTTAATAACATTCCATGATTATTTATTAACTTTTTGCATTATTTTACATACAATATTCTCATTATGTAGTAACCTTACAAGGTTAAGGTCAAGTAATAGTAAATTGGGAATTGTATAGATTTTACATGCAACTTGTGGGTGGAGACGTTAAGCTGAAAGCTTTTTTTTCAAGGTGAAATAAAGAGTTCTTCTGTATGACATTATATTTTGGGGGACTTCACATTAGTGTCTCCTTAAAGGTAGTTTTGTTTATGAGGATATTTGTTTAAAACTATTCTACCCAAAGAACATGACAAAAAATTTACCCTCTCCCAACATGAAAAACTTGAAGTCAGGCCATTTGTATATCCATGTAGGCACTTTCAGGGAATCAAAACTGATTTTTACCTAGTCTTTTGAAAAATATTTCATTCCAGTGTACATTCACCTGCTCCAGAAAGAGGTACAGTAGTTACAATTTTTCTGTACTAAAAACACGAAGTTTTTCAGAGTTGTCTACCCTTATACCAAGTATATCTTTTCTAATTTTTAAAATCATTCTTATCATTCATCATGTTATAATTGAAAGCAAAATAGCTTATAAAAATCATCTTTAAAGATCAATAACTTCTATAAGGAGTCAACTGATAATTTTAGCCATTTGACTTACATGTAGATCTTGTCTTGCTGATCATTTTTGCTAATTTAAGTTTCTATATGTCTATTCAAATATTTAAGATATAAGAAAAAAAGAAAAAAAACATTGTTAAAAATTGTCATTAAAGGGCAATAACTCCAATGAGGAGATGTCTGACAATTTCCTTCACATTGGCTTATAAGTTAATCTTATCTTGTTGATTATTATTGCATATTAAAGTTTCTATCTAATATAATTTTTAGGATAAAAGGCAGAATGCAAATAAATAGGTAAATAATTAAAGGGCAATAACTCAAATAAGGAGTCATTGGAAGATTTCCTCCATATTAATTCAAATGTAGGTCTTGTCTTGCTGATCATTTTAGCTTATTTAAGTTTCTATCCATTTATTATAATTTTTGATATATTAGTCAAAAATGCAAACAAATGGTAAAAATCTTCTCAAAGAGCAAAACTTCAATAAGGAGTCATCTGACGGTATCAGCAATGTTGACTAAATTGTAGATCTTGTCTTGCTGATCATTTTTACTTTTAAAGTATCTATCTATTATAACTTTTGAGATAACAGGCAAAAATTTTTAAAAATTGGTAAAATATGGTGCTTATGAGCAAGAACAGTTTCTGAAATAATTTTCAACATTTTTACATATGTCTTGAATTGGTTTCACAAAACACTTATGACTAAGATTTGTCGTAAGTTACAAACAATTCAGTATACTTATGATCGATCTTAGTCGTAAGTTTTTTTGTGAAACCAACTCCAGCTTTTCTTTATCTTTAGCAGTATTCAAAATAATTGACAAAAATTGCATTTAACCCCTATGTTCCATTTTTAGCCATGTCCGCCATGTTTGTTGGCAGGCGTGGTCATTGGACACATTTATAAACTAAATACTCCATTGATGATTGTGGCCAAGTTTAGTTAATTTGGCAAAGTAGTTTCAGAGGAGATGATCTTTGTAAAAGTAAACGGAAGACGATGACAGACACCAAGTGATGGGAAAAGCTCAGGTGAGCATGAAATGAGGAGTTGAGAATCTCGAAGTCTTAGTAAAAATATTTGTATGGATTTTATATATATTACTATTTTCTGTCACTTTGTTAAATATATATACATGTCTGTAGAAATCTACTGGTAGATTGTTAGTCTGATTTATTTTTCAGAATAATTATTTTGTATATACATGTATATTTTTTTTTTACTAATTTTATATTTATGTTGCACAAGAATCATTTAATTAAATAAAGATTGTTAAATGTTATGATGAATACCTGTACAAAATTTTCATCCCCATGAAACGGCCTTTGTGGCAGAGTGGTCTAACTAGTTCATCCCAGTGAAAGGTCCTCTGCGGCAGAGTGGTCTAACTAGTTCATCCCTGTGAAGGTTATCTGTGGCAGAATGGTCTAACTAGTTCATACTAGTGAAGGGGCTTCTGTGGCAGAGTGGTCTAACTAGTTCATCCCAGTGAAGGGCCTCTGTGGCAGAGTGGTCTAACTAGTTTATCCCAGTGAAGGGGCCTCTGTGGCAGAGTGGTCTAACTAGTTCATCCAAGTAATGGGGTCTTGGTGGCAGAGTGCTCTAACTAGTTCATCCAAGTGAAGGGGTCTTGGTGGCAGAGTGGTCTAACTAGTTCATCCCAGTGAAGGGGCCTCTGTGGAAGAATGGTCTAACTAGTTCATCCCAGTGAAGGGGGTCTTGGTGGCAGAGTGGCCTAACTAGTTCATACCAGTGAAGGGGTCTTGGTGGCAGAATGGTCTAACTAGTTCATCCCAGTGAAGGGGCCTCTGTGACAGAGTGGTCTAACTAGTTCATCCCAGTGAAAGGGCCTCTGTGGCAGAGTGGTCTAACTAGTTCATTCCAGTGAAGGGGCCTCTGTGGCAGAGTGGTCTAACTAGTTCATCCCAGTGAAGGGGTTTTGGTGGCAGAGTGGTCTAACTAGTTCATCCCAGTGAAGGGGTCTTGGTGGCAGAGTGGTCGAACTAGTTCATCCCAGTGAAGGGGGCTCTATGGCAGAATGGTCTAACTAGTTCATCCCAGTGAAGGGATATTGGTGGCAGAGTGGTATAACTAGTGCATACCAGTGAAGGGACTTGGTGGCAGAATGCAATTAACTAGTTCATCCCAGTGAAGAGGTCTTGGTGGCAGAGTGGTCCAACTAGTTCATCCAAGTGAAGGGGTCTTGGTGGCAGAATGGTCTAACTAGTTCATCCCAGTGAAGGGGCCTCTGTGACAGAGTGGTCTAACTAGTTCATCCCCGTGATGGGCCTCTGTGGCAGAGTGTTACAACTAGTTCATCCCCGTGAAGGGGCCTCTGTGGCCGAATGATTTACTGTAAATTCAGAAATTATTGCGAGGTTTTTATTATTGCGAAAAATGCGACAGAGTTGTAAACGCAATAATTTAAACTCGCATTTTGAAATATTTTATATGAATTAAACATGATTTTTCTCAAAATCGTAAAAATTAAAATCGCAATTAAGTCTTAAATGACAAAATCGCAATAATAAATGCACGCAATAATTTCTGAATTTACAGTAACTAGTTCATCCCCGTGATGGGGCCTCTGTGGCAGAATGGTCTAACTAGTTCATCCCAGTGAAGTGGCCTCTGTGGCAGAGTGGTCTAATTAGTTCATCCCAGTGAAGGGTCTTTGTGGCGGAGTGGTCTAACTAGTTCATCCCAATGAAGGGGCCTCTGTGGCAGAGTAGAACTAGTTCATCCCTGTGAAGGGACCTCTGTGGCAAAATGGTCTTAACTAGTTCATCCCAGTGAAGGGGTCTTGTTGGCAGAGCTGTCTAACTAGTTCAGACCAGTGAAGGGGTCTTTGTGGCAGAATGGTCTAACTAGTTCATCCCAGTGAAGGGGCCTCTGTGACAGAGCGGTCTGACTAGTTCATCCCAGTGAAGGGGCCTCTGTGACAGAGTGGTCTTACTAGTTCATCTCAGTGAAGGGGCCTCTGTGGCAGAGTGTTATAACTAGTTCATCCCCGTGAAGGGGCCTCTGTGGCTGAATGATTTAACTAGTTCATCCCCGTGATGGGGCCTCTGTGGTAGAATGGTCTAACTAGTTCATCCCAGTGAAGGAGCCTCTGTGGCAGAGTGGTCTAATTAGTTCATCCTAGTGAAGGGTCTTGGTGGCAGAGTGGTCTTAACTAGTTCACCCCAGTGAAGGGGCCTCTGTGGCAGAGGGGTCGAACTAGTTCATCCCAGTGAAGGGACCTCTGTGGCAGAATGGTCTAACTAGTTCATCCCAGTGAAGGGGTCTTGGTGGAAGAGTGGTCTAACTAGTTCAGACCAGTGAAGGGTCTTGGTGGCAGAATGGTCTGACTAGTTCATCCCAGTGAAGGGGCCTTTATGGCAGAGTGGTCTAACTAGTTCATCTCAGTGAAGGGGCCTCTGTGGCAGAGTGGTCTAACTAGTTCATCCCAGTAAAGGGGTCTTGGTGGAAGAGTGGTCTAACTAGTTCATCACAGTGAAGAGGTCTTGTTGGCAGAGGGGTCTAACTTGTTCATCCCAGTGAAGGGGTCTTGGTGGCAGAGTGGTCCAACTAGTTCATCCCAGTGAAGGGGTCTTGGTGGCAGAATGGTCTAACTAGTTCATCCCAGTGAAAGGGCCTCTGTGACGGAGTGTTCTAACTAGTTCATCCCCGTGAAGGGGCCTCTGGCAGAATGGTCTAACTAGTTCATCCCCATGATGGGCCTCTGTGGCAGAGTGTTCTAACGAGTTCATCCCCATGATGGGCCTCTGTGGCAGAGTGTTCTAACTAGTTCATCCCCGTGATTGTTCCTCTGTGGCAGAATGGTCTAACTAGTTCATCCCAGTGATGGGCCTTTGTGGCAGAGTGTTCTAACTGGTTCAACCCCGTGAAGGGGCCTCTGTGACAGAATGGTCTAACAAGTTTATCCCCGTGATGGGGCCTCTGTGGCAGAATGGTCTAACTAGTTCATCAACGTGATGGTTCCTCTGTGGCAGAATTGTCTAACTAGTTAATCCCAGTGAAGGTGCCTCGGTGACAGAATGGTATAACTAGTTCATCCCAGTGAAGGGGCCTCTGTGGCAGAATGGTCTAACTAGTTGATCCCCGTGATTGTTCCTCTGTGGCAGAGTGGTGTAACTAGTTCATCCCCGTGATGGGTCCTCTGTGGCAGAGTGGTCTAACTAGTTCATCCCCGTGATGGTTCCTCTGTGGCAGAGTGGTCCAACTAGTTCATCCACGTGATGGTTCCTCTGTGGCAGAGTGGTCTTACTAGTTCATCCCGTGATGGTTCCTCTGTGACAGAGTGGTCTAACTAGTTCATCCTAGTGAAGGGGCCTTTGTGGCAGAGTGTTCTGACTAGTTCATCCCCATGAAGGGGTCTTAGTTGCAGAGTGGTCTTACTAGTTCATCCCAGTGAAGGGGCCTCTGTGGCAGAATGGTATAACTAGTTTATATCAGTGATGGGGTCTTGGTGGAAGAGTGCTTTAACTTGTTAAATCTATAGTTATCACTAGCCTGAAATTATGAGTAGGAATGCCGTCCATTGCAAGCTTTGTGCATTAATTAGTCCCTTACCGACGAAGTCGAAGGGGACTTTAGGTTTGCACTCCGTCCGTCCGTCTGTCTGTCTGTTTATCTGTCTGTCTGTCTGTCCATCCGTTAGTCCGGCAAATCAGTTTTCCACACTTTTTTCTTCGTGCTTGAAGATATTGATTTGATATTTGGTATATTGTTTTATCATGACAAGTTACAGATCAAGTTTGAATTTTGTTCCGGTCTGATGATTTTGTGCAGCGTAATGGTCCTTGGACTTGTAAAATTCACTTAAATAATCAGTTTTCCACACTTTTTTCGTCATGCTTGAAGATATTGATTTGATAATTGGTATATAGTATTATCATGGCAAGTTACAGACAAAGTTCGAATTTTTTTCCGGTCTGATGATTTTGTGCAGAGTTATGGTCCTTGGACTTAGAAAATTAACTTAAATAATCAATTTTCCACACTTTTGTCATCATGCTTGAAGATATTGACTTGATATTTGTTATATAGTTTACAGCATGACAAGTTATAGATCAAGTTAGCATATTGTTCCAGTAGAATTATTTTTTAACCGGTAGGGGACTATGTATTGCCATGCAATACTCTCAGAATGCTTGTTGACTATGATTGTCAGCTTGCCTGTAGAAGGTCCCCTCTTAATGTACTCCAGATTCCTTCACTATTAAACACTTGCCACCATGCATGATATAGCAAAGAGAGTGCTGAATGTGGCATTTAACATAAATAATCAATCAATCATACATCCCAGTGATTGAAAAAAAAACATGTGTGCAAAACTTCCAAATAATCTTCCTGAGCAATATATTTACAAGAGTAAAAAAATTACATGAATTCAGTTATCACAAACTTGTCAAATATTAAAGGAATATAAGACATGACACACTTAGCTGTTACAGGGTAACATCACTTGTGACAACATGTCACCCAACCCTGACACATTATTCAGTCAGGAATATGGCAGTTGTTATCAAACAGTCCGTTTCTATGTATGTTGGCGTTTGTTTTTGTTGCAGTTCAGTGTTGTTCCGTTGTTTTCCTCTTATAGTTGATGTGTTTCCCTCGGTTTGGGTAACCATTATTGAAATAAATCATATTGGTTAAAAATCATTCAAGAATTGAAGTAAAAAAATCATGTGAAGGTCAATGCCATTTGGCTTCCAAGCTTTACAGCAAATGTTACATGCATGTTCCCTTGAATACTTAACCTCAAACAGCATGAAACATTGTTGTCACTCATTGCAATCGTTTTATAATAGATTGTGGAAAAAAAAACTACTAAAGGTGTTACCACCACCTTTCATACAAGAATGCGTTTTATTAATTCATTAAATATGATCATTCAGTATATGTGCCAAGGGGCGATTTTTAGCTCAACTTGCCCACAGGACCAACTGAGCTATTCTCATCAATTGGCATCCATCACCTCTGTCATTCGTCTTTGTCCATCGTTGATTGTCGTCTTCATTCGTCATCTCTGTAAACTTTTATAAAAATCTTCTTTGAAACTACTGGGCCGAATTTAACCAAACTAGACCACAAAGTCAATAATCATTTGGGTTTCTAGTTAAAAAAACTTGTCAACCCGCCTGCCAACCAACATGGCTAAAATAGTACCTAGGGTTAAAATGCAAGTTTTGTCTTAATTTGAAAACCGCTATAGATAAAGAAAATCTGAAGTTCAGAAATGTTCAGAATTTTTAGATATACCTACTGTCAATT